ATCTAATGCTATTTTAATAGTGTATCGGCAGGCCTTCATTAATGGATTCCACACGGGGTAGCACAAATAATAAGCAATCGCTCGCACTTGAAAACATATACTTTAAGGTTGAGTGGAACAGCACGCCATGGAACTCCGTCTTTTGGTTAACCCAATAAAGACAATCATTATCATACAGGGTGTTCCTTAATGATATGCGAATATTTAAGGGTGTGAATCTACTTGAAAAATCAATGTTAGTTTGCTTTATAAAATAATGTCACTGGCTTTTGACATCTGACAAAAGTCTCTGTTATTCAAATCTGTTCGCTGTGACATCTTTTTCATTATTTAGTTTTTATAATCTTGTTAATAATTGTGAATTATTCAAATGCAGAAATAGCGGTAATGCATTACGTATATGGCCTTGCCGACGGTAATGGTGAAAAAGAACATCAGAAGGTAGACCTCTAAGTGTGAGAACATCTGAAATTGAGGAAGCAGCTCTGCATGAAGTCGCAGAACATCCTGAAACGAGTACGAGGAAGATCGCTAGACACTTAAATATTTGCCATCAAATTGTTTGGAGACTTTTAGTGGATTTTTTGTTATATCCTTACCATATTTTAAGAGTACAGGCATTACTTCCCATTGATTTTCTAAGGCGTGTGACCTCTTGTCAGTAGTATCTTCAAAAAATTACACAAAATTCGCAATTTGATTCAATGATTCTGTTCACGGACAAAGCTAATTTTTCTCGAAATGCCATTCAGAATTTCCACAATAATCATTTGTGGGCAGAAGAAAATCCCTATGCCGTAACCGAAACCCATTTCCAACACCAATTTTCGGTTAACGTATGGGCTGGAATTATTGGCAACCACTTTATTGGCCCATTCTTCTTGCCGGGGCGACTTGACGGACAGGCTTACCTCAATTTTCTTCAACAACAGTTGCATTTGCTGCTTGATGAAGTTCCGTTAGTAATAAGAAATAATATGTGGTACATACATGATGATGCACCAGCGCATTTCAGTGTAGCGGTTCGTAATTATTTACAAACTGTTTATCCAAATCGTTGGATTGGCCGCGGTGGGCCCCAAGAATGGCCACCAAGGTCCCCAGACCTCAATAGCTTAGATTTCTTTTTGTGGGGCTATGTTAAGACACTAGTGTACACAAGTCCCATTAACACTGAAGAGGAATTAAGAGAAGGAATAAATGCAGCTTGTGATAGAATAAAAAACACTAGGGATATTTCAATGAGTGCACAATTCCATGAAAAGGAGGGCGGAAGCACGCACACTAAGTGAAGGGGGCCATTTTCAACAATTTTTGTAATCATTTCGTTGGTTTTAATGTTATGTTTATGTTGTCACTTGTTGTTGTTCATTACCCCTAATGTGTTTAATTTTTTCAATTAAATTAATAATAATTTTGCAAGTTAGACAATAGAACGGTTTTTATTTTTTTACTCAAAAATGACGCATCGTAGGAAAACAATTCAGGAGATCATTTGTTTTAAATTGAACGGGGAACTCAAAAATAATTTTTATTTGACAAAAGACCATTGGCGTACCATTTTTTTCTTAAAAAATATTGACGTCAATACCCGTACGCACGCCACTGTTAAGCTAAAAATTATTTTTACATTGAAAAATATGCAACTTTATTAACTTTCACTACCTACTAAATATCAGTGAAATATCTGAAGCGGTTCTGAAAATATTAATTAATTTCCATTTTTTTCCTAAAACTTCAACACCCGGAGTTTTTCTAAGGAAACAGTTTTGGACCATAGTTTATAAAGCAAACTAACATTATTTTTTCATGTAGATTCACACCCTTAAATATTCGCACATCATTAAGGAACACCCTGTATAGATTTGTTTCAAATCCTTTGGCAACCGGTGATTTCGCACAGGTCATTTGCAGGCATCCTTATACCAAATCGATTTATATGTTTGTTGATTTCATATATCAGTCGGTGAAAATAAACAATAAATAAAACCTCATAATTATATTCAGTTAATAGTAGTAGGTATATTCAGGATTTCTTTAGGCAACCAATTACCGAAACGTTTTTAACATTCTATTTCGTAAAAAGTAGTCGTGATTTGGCTGTTAGATCGGTGAAGCCCGAGCATAGCACAGATCCTGAACTATACTACAAAACACGTACAAACGTGCTCGTTGCCGGCTTTGATCCTGTTCACATGGAAAAACCCCATTATGAAAATTAGCTCAACTATCTATCATAGATGTCGCATCAATCAATTAACTTCCAACTTTTGAGGTTATGTATCTGTCATGTTTTGTTTTTCTTTAATGCTAGAAGTGAGAGAGAAGATGATTTGAATTGAAAATTTGTGGGCGGATGTTTGATTACAAATTTTACGCTTTGCCGCGTGTTGAACGCATATCATTGCTGCAACTGGGCGCATAACAAGGCTAAAATAATCAATTTGTATTTAACGTTAGACAGACTTCTATATGCAGATACTAGCGGCTTCGAAATATCTTTGCGTGCCGGTTTTCCAAAAGGTATGTCCTTATCGGGTCTTCTTATCGGTAGTGACGTACTGTAATATCGATTCCAAGGCTTTTTTTTTATTTCAGGTACAAAAAGTGCTGTATGTGTATGGGCCTTCATTTTAGCCATGGCGACTGCTAAGGATGTTCATTTGGATGCAGTGCTGAAAGGGAAATGCAGAGTTCACAAGACTCTTTACCAAGCTCTGTCAAAGGAGAAAGGAAATGTTTTCTTTTCCCCAATCAGTGTTCATGCTGTCCTTTCGATGGTACACCAAGGAGCGAAAGGCAAAACACAACAAGCACTTACCAATGTCCTCAAAGTGCCAGGTCCCGAAGAATCTGGTATGTTGATAATCTAATTATGTAAGGGCTAATACGACCATAATGGCCCAAATGATTTTTTTTTGTGGAAGGAAAGTTAATTGGAAGTCCTTGAGCATATACGAGTAGTTAACAAAAAAAAAATATAAAGAAAGATTTAAAACACCACAGCCTTTTTTGTGAGGCATATAGAATTTGAGGACTGTGTGGCATGCAATATAGCTGCTGCAAATTTGGATCTAGAGAAAGAAAAAAAAGCAACTCGTATTTGAATCAAAACTTCCAATTTAGATGGAAAAAAAGGCAATCATTGGTTAATGAACAATGTTTAAATAAAGTTACCTATGTTACTGATATTTTAAAGATATTTTAAAAATTTTGGATGAAAGAATGCAATTGTTCACGCTATGCTGCAATCTCAGAAACATGAACTTCAATTTTTGAGTATTTCTTCATGATAATTTGTTTTTTGTTACTTAAATATATGATTAATAGTTTCCTCCAATATTTGTATTTTATTACCATTTCTTTTACATTAAGATAATCCATGTCATTTGATAGGATATCCAAAGAACCACCTTTTTTTTTCTTTCCTGAAAAGTTGTCAGTTTTAGTTATGCAGTGTTGAAACTGAGGGACAATATGTTTATAAAAACTTTTTTGTGATTTGTGTATGTACTTTCAAAATAGAAAGTATTGCCACACATTTCTGAATCACTCCACCCCATATATTTAGTATTAATAGAAGACCCCAATACAAAAAGGGTTCATGTCCATTATTGTAATTTTTTCTATAGACATTTGTATTATTTGAATGTAATTGATGGGATATTATTCATTTTAACACGTTGGCTGCCGCTGGCTCTTATGAGTCAACGCGAGATTGTTTGCCGGTGCCGCTGACTCCTTATCAGAGCCAGGGTACAATACCGCAGGCACCAAGCGCACAAATTAGTAAAACATGATTTAGATGGTAAAAAACAAGTATCCAGAAAAAGATGCCAGATATAGCAAGAAGGGAATCTGTAAACAAACGATGTATGAATGTAGAACATGCCCTAATGTTCTAGAATTCTGCTTGGAGTGCAGTGATATTATTCACAAATCATTTTTTGCACTAAAATAGTCTGAATTCACCACAAATTCATGTTTGTATTCTAAATAAAAAGTTGTTTCATTTCTTATTTTTGATTAGATTTTATCACATTTTAGGTGTGTTTTGTTATATTTTTATATATTCTCTACTATTTTGAGTTACAAAAATTATTTTTAATATTTCATCTTTGTTAACGGTCCATAATAAATGTTTTTTTACTTTTCGTTTATTTCTATTATAAAAAACAAATAATTATCTTCCGACTCTTATAAGCGCCAGCGGGCACACAGGAAACCGATCTGTAACGTCAGTGCCGTCGGCTCTTAGAAGCAGCCACAAAAAATCTTTTAATTAAAAAAAACATTTTACGAAAATACCTCAATAAATGATTTTTACGAAGTTATACCACCAAATACAAATTAACCATTATACACTAATTGGCTCCTGGTAAACTAACTGTCAAAAGGTGGCAGTCAGCGTGTTAGCAGGTTTGCTTTTTCAAACCGAAGCAGCCACGCAGGCAGAAGCCTAAATGCCAGGCCACCATGGCGCTATGAGAATCCCAAAGAAATTTTGTTTATTTGATTTTTGAACTGCCTAAGGTTAGTAGAACTGGGAAAGCTTCCTCTTGAAGATTATTCCACAATTTCGACACCTCGGACAAAGGAGGAACATCGTGCGGCGGCATCATTGAGGAGAGCTCTTAGGAGGCAGAGCCTATTGTGCAGCAGTAGAAGAGAGCTAGATCGCCGACGCCCCGCCAATGCGAAAGGGTCCCGAGACTGTCTTAAAGAAGAGTGATCCCTCCTCTGAATATAAACTGCTCTTTGGCAAAGATTTTTGCGTCCCCAAGCAGTGATAACCTCCAGGGTCTCTCGTCAGAGAGGAAGTCGCCGCTAGACTTCTGTTTTTCAGCTTACTGGCAGAGATTCGCTTGTCGCTCTGAATTCCTGCATGTAGAGTGCTGCCATCAGCAAATCTGTGGATTGCGTATGATCGTTCAGGAAAGGAGGTGGTTGATATGTGTTGGACCCAAGACCGATCCCTGGGGAACACCTGCGTATGACGTTGTGGGTGAAGAGGAGAATCCGTCATTGTGGCCGATATCGTGCGGCCAGAGAGAAGCTACATATCCATCTGCAAGCTTCTCTGTGCGGCCATAGGATGGAGGTTTGCATAAGAGGGCAGTATGCGACAGCTGATCGAGTGCGAGTTGCCATGATATCAAGAGCAACAACATGAGCCTCACCATAAGTCTGGATGAGCTTATTCTTACAATTGCGTGACGTAAGCTAGGTGGTCCCGGTGGATCGCTTCTGCTTGCCTGTCGCTAATTAAGCCGTGACGTTCAAGGTAGTCCAGAAGGTCGCGATTATGCACCTCTCCATTACCTTACTAATTACAGAAAGCAGAGCTATAGGCCTGTAGTTGTTAGGCTCGGTAAAGATCCTTTTTTTTGGGGATGAGTTGGACATGAGCAAATTTCCAGATTTCTGGGAAGGTGCCGGATGGATAGCGAAGCTTATCACCGCGTTGCCCAGCAACGCTGGTGCGTGCCTCATTGCCGATATGTTACACGAGTTCCTTGAATTAAGATGCATGTTGAAAATATGTGTTAGTTTAGTCTCTATGGCCTAAATAATTTATTTTTGAATTGTGAATTGTGTCGAATCTGTTTAGGATCGATTCCGGAGCGGTCCTCACAGCGCTCCGTTTTAGGCCAAATTAAAGGTCAGGATTGCCACAAATTATGCAACATTGCATCATTGGTTCGCTTGGCAACACCGCATCTCGTTCCTTTCAAGGCAATGTTTCCAACTCCATGATCATAGATGAGCAATTTTGGTCAGTACCCATCTAAGGCTCATTGGGAAGTGTCGTCCTGATTCGAAATATCACGTACACGCAGGCAGTGATGATTTGTATTTCGTAATGGTATTTGTTACATTTTCCGACCTCCTCCTGTCGCAAAGAGTGACAATAAATCAGGATGTTCTCTTTCTAACACGTGTTATGCATTGATTGTTAGTGTCTAAAATATTAGATTTTATTAAAGTTGGAAAGGTCAATAAGCCTTAGAGGCTGCAGTGCATTTTGGTCTGACGACTTCCGGAAAGCATGAAAAAAAGATTGGATTTCTCAAAAGGCATATGAACATTGACCTAATGAATTTTTTTTCAGCTGATGGCTATGAACGTGTCATGAAGAGCTTAAACTCTGTAAAAAATGTTACCCTTTCGATAGCCAATAAGGTTTCTTGAAAACAAATACGTTTTTAAAGCAAGTTATGCTGCAACAATAGCTAAGAACTTCCAGTCAGAAGTAGAATCGGTAGATTTTGAGAAAAAAGAAGAAGCTGCAAAGATTATAAACACTTGGGTTGAGAATAAAACGAACAATAGAATCAAAGACTTGGTTAATGCTGATATGTTCGATGAATTAACACGATTAGTACTTGTAAACGCTATCTACTTCAAAGGAAAATGGTCGCATCCCTTCCCTGTAGCACAAACACAGACTGAAAAATTCTACATTAATGATGATGAGATAATGGATGTCCAAATGATGCATCTGACAAAGAATTTGTTTTACAAAGAAGATGAAACTCTTGATGCTAAGGTATTGGAATTGCCATATTCAAATAAGGAATTGAGTATGATCATTATTTTGCCCAACAAGAGGAATGGAATTCATGAGTTAGAGAAGAAATTAGCCACAGTAGATTTGTCCACAATTACAGAGAATATGTATAAACCTGAGGTCAAAGTATCCCTACCAAAATTCAAGATTGAGACAGATGTTATGGATCTCACCCAGCCACTGAAAGATGTAAGTATAGGCATTACATTTTTTTTTTTTGTAAGAGATGGTAGTTTGGAATCCCGTGAAATAATGTCCATATTATGTTCGCAAGATTTACGCTCAGGATGATGCTCGTCTCAAAAGGGGGGTATCGAAGACTTTTAATTGAAGAGGGGGGGGGGTTACGTCTCTATGATTGAGGCCTGGCAAGGTAATTTTAGCACCAAGGTCAGCTATTTGTTCAATTTTATTGGAAAACGACACGTTTGACGACTAGGAGAGGGAGACCCCTCTAAATTCGCGCTGGATATGATTTATTAATTAGAACGTATGTTCACGTCGAAATATTATTGTTTTTTGTATCAGGATGTAAACTCTTTATTTCTAAACTATTTTGGATTATGGAATCTCACCTATATATGTTGATTTCGGTACTATTAATTGAAAATTTTGTTTTGTCTAATACATATTTCATGTTTCGAAAATTTTTAAAAATAATAGTTATTACTACAGTCATAATTTTGGGATTTAGAAATAAAGGCTTGCGTGCAAATCCAGGAGTGCTTTTGGTTATACGAGTTTATGTGATTTTTCCTGTAGTATAAGCAACTTTTTCAAATAATTTTGAACACAGTCACGCCAAAAAGACATGTTGTAGCTTGATCAACTTTCATATAAGGCAAAGTAACTGTGCTTGTTCCAAAGTTGTAACTAATTTTTTCAACAGTGCAGTGATTATGATTGTTCTACATGATTGGTAAAACCTTATTTGTGATCGATAGTCAGACCTAAAAACATTGTTTGCTTTATGAATCACTTCATTATTCGAATTTAATAAGCGTATAAATAATAAGTTTGTATTGCAAAAAGTAGATGGTTGGTGCAATAGCTGAAAGTCCAACCTTTCTAAAGCCATAAATCTAATATCGCACCATTTTTGTTAGAATGTCGTCGATTCTTTCATTGTTCTCTTTATCCAAACCTATTTAACTTCTGAATAGATCTTTGTATTTGCAATCCTTCTAACATTTTCTATTTTGTATAAGTCATACTCGTTTTATTACATTATTCCCTAAAGTTATTTTCAAACAGCTAATTTTTGCGATGTCAATGCTTATTGTTGTAAATAATAGTTGATTGTTAAGAACTACTACTATTAGAATTCGATTCTCTATGAATACTATAAGTTTTTGTTACAAAGTGACGTGTGTAAGCACTATATGTATGAAACACCAATAAAGTATTGTGTTTTCTATTAATGCTGTCGTAAACATATTTTTCAGTTTTATTGCTACATACACAATAGTGTTTATGCTGTAATAGTAAGGTAAACAACTTTACTTGTGTGTTACTAAGCTGACGTTTTAGTTATGAAAATTGGGGGGAAATCTGTTAGGAACACCTTTTTTGTCCCACTCCGTTAAGAAATATTGCATAATTTTTAGGTTTGATACACTATATTCATCTGCGAACAAGTAGAATCACTTTGGCTAATATTTGTGGATGACCGTTTTGAGTCCGAACGAGGGTCTTTAAAAAAACTTCATCGAAAAAAGCTACGAGGTACGAGATAGAGTTTCGAGGAGGCCATAATGATGGTGACTCTGACTACGATCTTTAAGGTTTTTTGAAGTTCAAGCGATTATTTTCAAAAAAACACCTCCTTTTCACATCGGATTAGAAAAGAGGATAAAAATTTACGTCTGAACATCACCTTGGTCGTGACTCTGAGCACTTAGTCAAGGTCATCTTTGGGTGATTCTCACCAACCTGACAACTATGCCGCACAGTTTTACTAAATCAAATTGTTTTCGATAACTGTCCCAAATTTGGCACACGTGAAATCTATTTTATTTTCTAAGTCAACATTTTCTAAAGTTCTGATGGAAGATACCAGTGAAGAGGAACAGCTTGATACAGAGCTACAACTGGATTTAAAAAAAGTAAATATCCTTTTGCGTAAATACCAGCCCAAGAAATTCGTCGCGACAATATGGGATATCTTCCTGAGTGGTATCAAGATACCAGAGATGCAAATTTTCTGAGTGTAGTGGACAAACACAAGTTTCGTGCGATAAATGTAATGTTAGATTATGTTTAAACAAAGACCGGAATTGCTTTCGCCGTTTCCATCTGGAATAACTAAATATATCTTCGAAATTGCATTTAGTCGGGACATTTTTCCATGTATTTTTAATGGTTTATAATAAATATGGTTTCAGTTAATTTTTTCGTTTTCATCCAACTATTGAAATTTGTGCCAAATCTGGCACATATCAAAAAGGCCATTTTTAAAAAAATTGATCACATATATTTTTCTAGTTACTTTTGAAATATGAACTATCGCATATATTTTTTAACAAAAGCAAAGAATCATGCAGTAAGGGGTTAAATGGCTTTGAGGCGATGGTCAAGGTAATGTCCAAGGTGATGTTCGGTCGTAAAATTTGCTCCTATTTCAATTCCGATGTGAAGAAGCGAGGGTCCCAGTCAAAAATATTCACTTGATCTTCAAATCACTGAGGGTCGACGTCAAGGTCACCGTCATTTTGTCCCCTTTAACCATACAACTCTCGTTTGAAACTTTTTTCTAGAACGCGCCGTTTTCGAAATATTTGGGTGAGGAGATTAAAATGGGACACTGTGCATAATGTTTTTTCGATTTCGACATCCGTGTTATTTTTGCATCGTTCTTTCATTAGAGATGTCTGGAACTACCCATACTGAGATTTTGTTTATCGGACGTCCCTTGTCTATAAAGTTTTTTGTTTTACGACGTTTCGATTGATGTCTTCAATCCTCATCAGGTTAACTGATTGACCATCACATCAATTGAAACTTCGTGAAACAAAAAACTTTAGAGACAATGGAACATCTGAATCATCCAGACTGTCATCAAATTTGAAACAACAGCTAGCTATACTGATTAAATGTTTATTTCAGGCCGGTCTTGAACAAATTTTCACAGATGAAGCTGACTTTTCTGGAATGCTTGACAATCCAGAACGCCTGGCAGTGTCTCAAGTTGTCCAAAAGGCCTTCATTGAAGTTGGTGAAGAAGGAACAGAAGCAGCTGCAGCCTCAGGTAGGTTTTTTCGCTTAGCAAATACTTTGTTTTTTGAGCTGGCCGAAACCTTGAATAATGAGAATATTCTACAGAAAATCTAACAGTATTCATTCAACATATACATTCACCGTGATTTTGGTGCTATTTCAAGTTAATAGCTCAAATTTTCATTATAATATAACAGGTATTCTTTCTTTGTGAAGATGTCGTGTTCGGTAGTTGACTATATTCTCCAATATTTATATTTTTTAAATAACAGAAGTGATGTTCCTTAAAGTTACATACCCACTCGCGGCGACATTTTCCATTTGGGTGGGTTGTCATTTGATTATGTATAAAGGAACTTCAGCGGAAGAGTTTGGCTTCTTTTATATTTCCTTCCTTTCAGAAGCGTGCATCTCAAAAGTTCCGTTTTGGGAATCCTTTCATTCCTGCTTATTCGCTTAAGTCATTGTTGACTAAAAATTCTTGCACTGAAGTGAGCTTTTTTATGTTCATTTTCATATTGTGCATAAGCAGTATTGTACATCTTCCCTATGATATTGTATTGTTTTAACAAAGCACCTAATTTAATGAATAGTGCTAAAGATTTGAAATATATTTACTGTTTCGGCCAGTTCAGATATACAAAGTGGGACATGCAGCTTGCTTATATTGTTTTTTTTTGCTTGGAGTGGGAATGCTGGTTTATTACTTCATTACTTGCCTGGAATTGACGCTTTTAAAATACGCTGGCCAATCGCCATTTTCACCAGTCATGTTTTTGGAAGTATAAAGACCGTGTGATAATCATTTTTCTGCTTACATCGTTGGGAGTTCACAAAAAAAGCTTGGTCACAATTTTTTTTTCATATTGTTTTTCGAGGCCGAAAGAAGACAAATTTCGCATTTTTTCAAATATTGTATCGCTCATACCTAGAAAACTATCAACCTAAGAGAACAGTTCCGAAGAACATTTTTTTGCTCGAAATGTATTAAAAAACTTAAAAACACTTTGACAGGAGCGAAAAAACAATTTTCATAATTTGTTTGAAAAAATTTTCAAAAAAAAGGGTTCACCTTTTAACAGTATTGAGCAAAAAAAACCCGATTCAGAATATTGTTTCCATCAGATGCAAAGACTATTCGGTTTCCGTTCAGTTCAGCTCATTGTGATTGACAGATGTTAAGTCATCTTTCATTATGCACACACAAGGTAGCTAGCGTTGACAGTTGTGGGAGAATTGCTGCTGAATGCACTTTTTCATCGCTTCATTTGTTATGGAGCGATGACGTATGCTGAACTGTATAATGATTCTGACTAACGGTTTACTCAGACGTCTTTCAAATAATTTTACATTTAAGTCGTTAAAATCGTTGTGCAAGTTACACTTTTCAATTAATGTGATAGAGTGACAGTTAAATGATCGCAAGTGACAGCGATTTGGTTGTGAAGAATCAGCAAACTAATTGTGAAGATTTTATATTCAAAGTAAGTATATGCAGATAATATGCTTTCATTGCCCATATTTATGCAGTTATTAAAACCGGCCTGTTTTCTATGGCAAAGTTCCAAATATAACATGAGTTGCTGCAACTTATACAACTTTTTGAAAGTATGTGTGTACAGAGTTCCCCTTATACCCCATTAGTGGAGAATAAATGTTGATCGAAAAATTTGTTTTGGCAGTATGTTGAAGTCTAGAAACCAACAGTGATAAAATGTTTTGAATGCCAAACTAAAACTTCGTTCGTTCGCTCATTTTTGTTGTCATTTGCGTTTGAAATTTCGACTCTGTGGACAACGATTTTGAATCTCTCGAAAACGTACTTTCCCCTCATTGGAACATCCTGTATGTTACTTGCATAATTTAAAGTACTATTACACAAGCTTGAGATCTATTTAATTTTTTCGATTCTCAAATTTTTGTAATGAAGTGGTAAACTCCAAGGCATTAGGCGCTTTTATAATTTCCTTATACACAGCTATAAATCACTAACATTGAATTACTGGCACCAAAGGTAAAACTGATATTTTTAGGTTTGCACGTCAGGGTTAGAAAATCCGCATCTTTCCCAGAAGAATTCATTGCAGATCATCCGTTCGTTCTTAGCTTAGTGCTAAGTAATCCTTGTGAGATATTTGTAGGAAGGATCGAAAAACCTACGCCTGCGCATATTGCTCACGAAGAGTTGTAAACTTGTTCAAAGTAATTTGTCACGGAAATGTAACTATTCAAAATGTTATCAATTACTATGACAACATCAGCTAAAAAACATTTTCAAATGGTGGCTTTACGTTTAAAGTACAGCGACTCGTATTATTTGGTTCATACTGTGGCCAAAGAGTAGTATATCAAGGCAAGACAGACAAGGCGAATAAATTCGAGAGACTATGGGGTCCAAATACATGCTGTTCTGATTTGGACAGAGATAAATACGGTGTTGCCACATAGATAAAGCTATTGTTATTATTATTATATATTATATACTATCAGTCACTTGTAGTGAAAGCACTCAAATTCACTTTTGTTTGGGTATTTTTCATGATGTTGATATTTATCGTATTTTTTCACGGCCTACGAAATTATTTTTCATTCAATACAGTTATAAAGCACACTTTTGACGAGTACTCTCCCCATCATGTAAACAGAAGTTATTCTCAAAATCTATAAGTTATCTCATAGTTATATAACTTTTAAGGATTGATGTAGTTTAGTAACGTCATTTTGGAATTTAAATTTTGTCTAATTTCAAATTGCTTATTTGCCCAATTGTCGGTGTATTTGACATGATTGATTACGAATCCGACACTTTCCCAAAAAACTGGAAATTAGCTTATGTCCAACCCAACCTAAAAAAGGATCTAAGACCGACCCTTACAACTACAGGACTATAGCTATTTCTGTTATAAATAAGGTGCTAGGTAGGGACCTCCTGGAGTACCTCGAACGTCACGGCTTGATTACCGACGGGCAATATGGTTTCTGGCTTAAGCGATCCACGGGGGATCTCCTAGCTTACGTCACGCAACTGAGGAGTAAACTCACCCAGTCTTATGGTGAGGCTCAAGTCGCTGCTCTTGATATCACAAGTACGTTCGATCAGCTGTACAATCAATCGGATCCACAGCTTTGCTAATGTCAGCACACTACATGCAGGAATTCAGAGTGACAAACTGATCTCTGCCAGTGAGCTGGAGAAAAGAAAACTAGCAGCGACTTTCTCTCTGACGAGACACCTGGAAGTTATCACCGATTGGGGACGCAACAAGCTTGTTCAGTTTAATGCTTCCAAAATACAGAACTATACCTTAGCTAACAAGAAGTGTTCTAGCGTTCATCCGGTTTTGATGGATGGCTAAGTTCTACCAAAGAGCCGTTCATTTCGAATGATCGGAGTTCAGATCACCGAGAACTTGATCTGGCACTAACACACTTCGTCAATAGTGGCAGCTAATGGGAAAAAGCTAGGCTATTTATTTAGGGCTAAAAAGTACTTTTCTCCACAGGACATCCTCTGTACATTGTCCAGATAAGAGTAATGCTCATAGTTAGGGTACTGCCGCCTCTACTGCATTATCCGTAATCGATGCTGTTCATAGAAGAGCTGTCCAACTGATCGATTACTCTTTTCTAACGGACCCCTTTCGCATCGACCTACTGGGCGTCAGCGATCTAGCTCTTTTCTACTAACCTGAGGCAGTTCAAAAATCGGATTAACAAAGTTTTTTAAGCTCCTCATAGCAGCCGCGGCACCCTGACGTTTAGGCTTCTGCCTTCACGGCTGCTTCTGTGTAAAAAAAGCCATGCAGCTCAGTATAAATGTGGCGTTTTCTAAACATTTTTGTTAGTTTGGCATCACTGTCCCGGTACATGCAGCGAAAGGCATAGAACCTTGGCGGAATGTCGAACCATATATGAGCGAATCACTAAAGCAATGGGCGTCCCGCCCATAAATCGCTGCAAAGTTTTGATTACATCGCTTACTCATATAATTTGTTAAAAAGTAGTCAAACTAGTTAATTTTGTAACTTTTCCAGGTTGCTGTTTAGCATCAAAATACTTAAGATGTGTCTAGTTTTTATAATATATAGTACTATAATGCTGTAGAAACCCAAGGTCAATGGGGCCGACCGGCGGATGATATAAAGACAATCCACGAAGTGTCTTCACTTGATATAACTACCCTTGGCAGTGGCTTTGTCATGTCAAAAATATGATTCAAATAATTTAAAATATCATAATAATTAAATGAATTTATGTAAAATACTTCAGATACAAAGAGTACTGAACCTCGAATTCGTTTTTCTTATAAATGATTATTGGCCATACCATTTGTGCGTTTTAATTCTCTAAATCTTAAAGTAACATAACACTTTTTGATTGTCAAAAATAACGACATATTGCCACTAAATTATCTGCTGTGACGACGAAAACTATAGCGTCATCAGATGTCGTATACTAGTAACAATCATTACGCGTATCTTAGGTGTAAAAATGACTAATAAATGTACTAGTGACCTACTAAGGACGTGCATATCTAGTTCTTAGTCAAGACGCTCGTCAGTGCAACATAGTTGTTGCTATAGCTTACTGAAGTTGACTGTCGCTCTTAGCAAATGTGATCTATCCATATCTAAATCAATCTCAAATATGTTCAAAACGGTGGCTTCTATATAAACTTTTCTGAGTAGTATCACAAACAGTGAATACTGTGTTCAGTGTTATAAATATGCTATTTGTTAGTGAATGTATGCTAATAGATCGCACATAAGACTGTGAATGATGTACGATACATGACTATAAAGAAAAGGAAAATTGAATCTGGTGACACTAGGTCAATCACACACGTATGTTCTTAGAGTAGACTGAACCACTAAATTAATGTAAATTAGTGGAATGTGTAACTTCTTTATAGAGAAAATATTTTCGTAACATATGGATATCTATCCATTATTTGCAATCATCTGTGTAATTCTTACTCAATAATAGATTTGAGTTGAGACTCAACAATCATCATTTTATAGTTTGATAATATAATATTGAAGTATTGCTTCAGAAACTTTATTTTTGATAATGGTTTTAAAAAGATATCTTCACTAAACATAACGGTCGTAACTTTATCTGGTATATAAAATATATTGGTATGTGGTAGATGGAATAATGCACTTTATACATTTTTTCTTCGAATTCTATATTCGTAAATATCTTCCTGTCTTAACTTGATTAAAGAATTTTTCTATGTGAAATTACCAAGAGATTATCGAGATAAACATTTTAAATACAAAAACTGAGATTTTGGAATTTTTGGCAAACGTTGATCAATTTCAAATCAAATTTTTCATGGAAGAAGCTCTGGGGGTGTTAACACTTGTAACTTATAATAGAAACATGATTTGTTGTATCCCGTATCTGTACACTGTAAAAACCATACTTAGTTAATTAACAAATCTATACTTCCAACATTTTTCCTTCACTAGTAAACTAATTTCCTTATTTATGAATGAAAACAAAAATACTCTGCTTTTTATGGGTGTCATAAATAAATACGCACCAATTTTATGTCGCGATGACTGTGATATTATGTAATGGACTAAAATGCACATTGTGCACATGTTTCATACATACTAGGATAAAATTAGATAGTTTACAAAATATAAATCCCATAAGCCAGTAGTATATTAGTATGTTTTAAAAAAACTATTCCTATTTGATTACGTGGTAAATTCGCCAGTAATCGTCATGTATTTTTTAGGCTTTAAACTCGTTTCCTTAGTTGTTGTGTTTACTACTAAACCCTTCCGTCCCCTTATCAAAATAAGACAGCAGTAAGTGCCATCTATTACCAGAATTGACCACTGCTAGAGTCAAACATCAAGTTGTTTGCTGGAACTGTGTCTCAGCCATGTCATCACTGAGACCGTTAGTTGCGGTCGATTCTGGTGGTATAGTAGATGAGTTCTACTCGCCATTAAACAAATTAGTGATATAGTGTCCGATCACTGACAGCCAACCATGGACAGGTGTTTCTTGCTTTTTGGCAACTCATCAGCGTGGTCTAATTTGTCTTTGCTTGGTCTCCTATCCGAAGTATAAGGTTTATCGAAAAAAGACAGCACAAAGTGCCATGAGCCATTCATTACCAGAATGAACCACTGCAAGAATCAATCAACAAGCTGTCTGTTGGAACTGTATCTAAGTTTGCATTGAATAGTCCTGTCAGCACTGTGACCGCTAGATGCCATCGATTCTGGCGGTATATTAGATGGGGTCTTCTATTTCGATAAAACTTAGAGAGAGAGAAAAGTTACTCAGCTTTCGTTCGCTGTCCCACCTGAGATGAAGCCCTAACCATATTGATGAGTTGCCAAAAAGTATGAAACATCTATTAGCGGCTGGCCGTCTGGAATCCTCGTTGAACTCAGGGTAACAACGACAATCTTAGTACTCCCAGTATTTTTTTTTGTGAGAGTATTAAAAACATACAATCTCATGTTTGTCAGTTCCTCTTTAAAAATTTCTGTGACGTTTGAATTTTTTTTTACACTTGAACACGAAGGCATAAGGCCTAAACACCCATTGGGTACCGCGGGGCTAAAGGGGGATTCAGGGGCAAGAGGAAACTCCACGCGGACTCTAGAGAGGAAACACGTGGGCATGCAACATGCACACATTCTGGCTCCGCCTTAGAGATCCGCCGGGTAGTATCTCCGCGATCGACAGTCAAATACCGCCTACCAGCTACGGACAATCACAGCACCCATAGGCAAGAGAAAAATTTCTCTAGGGACGGGGTTCGAACCCGCGGAGCGCACGGTGACTCATTATGATTAGTAGATCCATAACGTTTACAACCTCGCCACCGCTGCTGCAAAGCCTAAAAGATTTTATATTTATTGGCAATTTTTTTCAAGAATATTAATTTTTTGTCCTTAATAAGCCTCTTCAGTGGCGTAAAAATCTTCAACACCCTGTATCGTGGTAATGGCACATTTTGGAATCTATTTTTAGTAACTTCTAAGTTATTTTTGCTTCAGAAATATCGCGAATGTTTTGTATGGAGGTTTGAGTTTCCTCGAATTCAGATGCATTAGTCTACTCCACTCATCCACCAATTCACTAGCCCAGTTCTAGGCAGGCTGTATATGGAACAATCATGGATGTTACTTTTACTATATAGAATAATTAAAGATAACTTTCTATAGTTAACCAGCATTCTCACTCAAGTCACTGTGATATTCTACAAATATACATATAATACAATTTATTGTTTTTTGTGTTGATTTCCGGATATTTTCAGGGGTAATTTTCGAAACGTACTCTTTGGTTCTACCACATACTTTTGAAGCTGATCATCCATTATGATAGCCCTTGTGGCCACTGAGAATGATTATGAAAATCTGTTATTCCTTGGCAGGATTAATCGCCCTACCTAAATTATTTCTTCTGTCTCTTATACTGTGATTTATACACGCTACTA